AGTCATAAACAAACAATTCGAATACCTTTTGAACTTACAACAATCGAAATTATAGAACGGCGGTAGTAACACCAATCTCTGTGGATACGATATTAAAAATATTTGTCGGAAATATACTTTTCAACAGAAACCCGACCTCGGATGGAAACATTAAAGAAAACACAACCTGCCACGTTCACCACCTGCTCGCTTAGCGAGTATTCGTTACTTGTTCGCCTAGCGAACAAGCTCGCGAAGATAAACAGAAGTCTCTGACTTCGTTCGCTACCTCGATCGCTCAGCGAACCCCTAGCGAAGCTTCGCTACACCCATTCGCTACCAGCGAACACCACAATATGCATTTTGTCCAAGTCTGGGACCATTCGTTACCTATTCGCTATTGTCCACAATAGCTTAGCGAACGTTCGCGACCAGCTCGCCTAGCGAACAGCTAGCGAGCGTCTGCGAACCAGAAATTCCTCACTGTTCAGAATTTCCCAACCTCTCCAAAACCGACCGATTCTCATCAAATCAGTTCCAATAGCCTTAGTCTATCATACCCTGACTATTCTACATTACTTACATCGGATTCTACCCGAAAAAACATCCGTTCTATTGATTAAACTCATTATGCCCTAAAATGGAAAATGAGCAAAATTCTCCCCAATCCAAAACAAAACCAACAAGAACACACATAATCATACACATTGTAAGAATAATAAAGTTTCACACCCTTACCCGATCAATCGAAAGCTTAGAAGTGGATTCTTGATGATTCTAAGTTTTTCTCCTTTTCCTCCTCTTTTCTCTTCTCTTCCTTTCTTTCTCTTCTTTTTCTTTCCTTTTGGTTTCTATTCTCTCTATTCTTTCTCTTTTCCACTTATACTCTCTCTACTATATTTCTCTCAAAATAACTACTAATCAAGGATTATCTAAAACACCCTCTAATTAATTCTCAAAACTCTCCAAATAATAAAATGCCACAACATACACACATAACATATTATCACATAATTCCACAATAAAATAACAATTAACCAAATAAATTAAAAGACTCAACAAAATAATGGGAAATTCATAATCGGGGCGTTACAACACGCACATACACTCACGAACGCACACCTGCACGCACGCTCGTACGCTCGCACGCACGTACGCACACACCCGCACACACACACACACCCGCACACACACACACACACCCGCACACACACACACACGCGCATGCACGCACGCGCACTCACACACACACACACACACACGCACACGCACACACACACACGCACGTACGCACGCACGCACGCACACACGCGCGCGCACACTCACATGCACACACACGCACGCACGCACACCCACCCACACACCCACACCCACACACACGCACGCACGCATGTACACACACACACGTACGCACACACACACGCACGCACGCATACGTACACACACACACACGCATGCACACACTCACGCACCTACACACCCAAACACACACACGGACACACACACACGCGCACACACACTCACATACACACGCACGTACGCACGCACACTCACACACACAATTCTCTTTCATAAATAATGATAATAAGAGATTTTTAATTAAATATTTATGTCAAAATTTCAAAGAGTCAATATAGTTATGGTTAAGTAAAACAACAACATAACAATAAAAATAGTATATTTTATATTATAGAATTCAAAACATCACTTTACCACACATAGCTAATAACATTTCAAAAGATTATATTAAATAAATAATTTTTTAACTTACTAAATAATTAAATAAAATTATATCCTATCAACTTCAATGAAACCGACAAACTTCTACCACCAAGGCTCATACCATATAGCAATATCACATTCTCCTCCTTCATTCAACGGTTTAATAATTGCACGTATATCTATCTTAATAGTAAAGCCCAAGAAATTGCCTTTTCAGAGATTATTTATTTTCACATAGTCATATCATCCATTACCTATAAAAATATCATGTTGGTTTTGTAATTCCTTATACACCTCACATTCGTAACTCTCATCATTATCAGCATCTGTGAGCTCGAACCCTGTCTGAACCAAAACCACATATCTTTTTATATATGTAATGGAAGATGCTGCGAAATATTAAACAATTAAACATACATCAAATTTTTAATCCATATCTTCATATACTATTATCATAATACTCTTACAAAAATATTTCTCCGAGCTTTAACTTCTCACTTCATTTCTTTTTTCCAGTAATATTCAACATCATCATCGCTGTCAAAATCAATTGTAATGACTCCAAGCTTACGCGATATTATTTCAGCCCTCGATCTTGCCAAAGTTTTATTTCTCTTATCCAACCTATAAATCACAAGAATCATATCCTCTGCAACAAAATCACAAACATGTTACTAACATAGTAACACAACTCAGGTTTTGAAACACATTTTTCTTTCTATTTAAAGGAAATTTAGCAGTTACCACATCGTGAGAATGATGATAACTTGGTACTCTTCATTCTCTCTTCCTTACATTTTCTAAATAGACTAAATAAGACTAAACAACATTAGCCCTACTATTATGTAAACAATTTTTTTTTATGGACCGAACCAAAATTTTATTGTTCTACAAACCCAAAGTCAAAACCCATCCATTCTAGATTTTAATATTTTTATAGTATTATTTAAGTTTATTTATTTATTTCTATTATTATTTACTATTACATTTGATTCATGCTTTTTGGATTTTTCTTCTTCTTTTTTTACTTTTACACACTACTTTTCATAATATTCTTCAAACTAACTCTAACTCTTTCAAACAGAATTCATTAATATAACTATTATCAATTCTAACAGAAAAATTACATATATGTTATTCAGAACCTAACTAATACTCACACTAGTCCTATTTATAAGAGACAATAAATTTTAGATAAATAATCAATGTATCTGAATTATATACAATCCAAATTCATTTATTTCTATTTATAAGAGACAAAATAAATTTTAGATAAATAATCATTGTATCTGAATTATGTACGATCCAAATTCATTTATTATTCAATGTATCTAAAAAATAAAATATCTCTTATAAATAAGAACGGAGAGAGTATAAACTTTTATCGAAAATATGGAGTAGCGTTTACATATCTAGATATATCTATACTAGACTAATATCGACGTGTTACTTAAAAAGAATAGTACACACAGGTTACCTACTATTTATATCTCTAAAGATTAAATCAATGTTTGAATAATGTGGAACTTTGTAAGTGTGAGTCCGAAGAATATATTGACGTGACTCATAGTCTGTCTTATATAAAGGAGGCGATTAGAACCTTTTCCTAAATTTCCATGCATGATATATGGTTAACTGTTGTATGTATTCAACAAACGAGATGGGGGAGGAAGACATGCTCCTATATATTCAAACCACTTGTATTCAAGAGTAAGAGTCCATTGATGTGTTAGTTAATTGAACTATTTTTGTTAGATAGGGTCTATGAGCTAGGTCGTTTTTAATAGGCCTTTAGTCAACTCTGAAATGCTGCCCATAAGTCCTTTCTATCAACTGTGAGTTAAAGGGTGTTGAAGTAGAAATTAGTGAAACTAATATGAGAATATGTGTTGTTGAGGTAGCTCGTCCTTTGAGTGAACGCCCTGTGAAGAGATAACTATGTTGGGGTGTAAAGTAAGGTAAGTTGACATTGGGAACATGCATATTTAATACTCCTTATCTAGAGGAAATATTTATATGTAAAAGGTTTCACTCGCACCCACATGTGTAAGGTAGGGAGGCGACGCAGATAAGTGTACTAAAATGCATTCAAGCGCAGCTATGTGTTTGAGATTTTATTTGAGCCCTTATATATGATCTTTGGTCTTATGTCAAATCATGGTCATTGATTTTTGCGCCTTTCGAGCCTATAAAAAAGGAACATGGGTTTCATATCTATTTTTGACTTCTTTATCTCTTTCCCTATCAGAGGTTGCTTGCCTAATTTTCATCTCATTGTTGCTACAACTTATGGGTTTTGGTTCATCTTGTTGATGCTTCCTTCACATTCTTCATTCAAGTGAATTTGCTACATTCATTACTTAAGGTATTTGCTTCTTCTTCCTTCCCTCATTTCTTCAGCTTTCAATCTTCTTTAAGTATGACCCTCTTAAAGAATCCACATCTAGATCTCCCTATCATTGACCTTATTGTTATATGAATTAGCGGTGTTGATTCCATAATTGAACTAAATTTTGTTAATCTTAAAGACAGAAAGCTTGTCTCTACTACGATAGAAATGAGTTAGGTTGGTGTTAACTTTACCTTTTGTGAAATATAGGTGGTTGACCTCATTCTTTTTTGAAACCTTATGGATGATCGTGAGACACAAAGGGTTGTTAGAAGTATAGAGTGTATGTTCAAGCATGAAGTTTCTAAGGGATGAATCTCGCATGGTTTGTAACCATTTTGAATCAATGTTAGAAACTTTTTGTAAAAGTTTCTACCCTTGAACATTTTAACAGTTTCTTTTTTAATCTACAACCTCTCTCAACTATTTCAAAATATCAAGCACCATCTTCGCAGATATTTATGAGTAGCGTTTCAAAGAACTTTAATATTTTTCAAGTAGAAAGATGTCTTTGTTCACTTTAAACAAGTTTGAATACTTCAAATTCAAAATTTCAAATTTTACCCATAACAACTTCATTGCAAATGTGATCTAGGAGAACATGATGCTATATTCTCTTATTTTCACTTTTGTTTTCTGTTTTTCTTCTTTTATCTCTATTCATTTGTATTTTGCAATATTTTGTTAACATCATATAAGAAATTAACATATATCTCTTACCTGCCTAATCCAACAAATGGATACTATTGAGACACAAAACTTAGCTATCTAATTTTTAATAATCTTTTTCAATTCATAATGCAATACATAATCATCTAAAACCCCAATTAAGAATAGAAAGAAAAAAAATACAATAAACTAAAATCACATAGTGCTAAGAGAACATTTCATTTCATGTAGCTTCTAAAACCTAACGACCACCAGAAAGAAGTGATTCAGCAATTGAAGAAGTATGAGAGAAAGGTCTATCCATAGAAGAAGAAGCATAAGACATACCAAAATCTTGAAAATTTTCACATTGTCCAGAAGTCACTCCCATTGAAGACAAACTAAGAAAAGACAAATCAGGAAGTGCCAAATCCCTCTCCAAATACCTCAAAACTTGTCTCATACTTGGCCTAGCCAATGCCTCACAATGTGAACACAACAAACCAAGTTTCAAAACCAATTCAACTTCTTCAACCACATAATCCACCCCTAAATTTACATCTCTAGCCTCAACAATCTCACCTCTTTTCCAACAATCATAAACATAATCAACCAAAATCAAACTCTCACATTCTCTTATTTGTTCAATAGGCCTTTTACCACAAACAACCTCAAGCAAGAAAGCACCAAAAGAATACACATCAGAACTTGTAGTAGCTTTACCTGTTCTTGTATGCTCAGGTGCTAAATAGCCAAGTGTTCCAACAACATGTGTTGTTTGAGGATCAGTTCCATGATCATATAGTCTTGAAAGACCAAAATCACCTAATCTTCCATTCAATTCACCATCTAATAAAACATTACTAGCTTTAATATCTCTATGAACAACAACTTGTTCCCATTCTTCATGTAAATAAAACAAACCGGAAGCAACACCTTTGATGATTCTAAACCTTTGACTCCAATTTAAGGTAAATCTTTGTTTTCTGTTGTGTAAGTATTTGTCTAAGCTTCCATTTTGCATGTAATCATAGACAAGAAGTAACTCGCCTTTTCGCCTGCAATAGCCGAGAAGCGGAACGAGATTTCTATGACGAAGACGACCGATACTAACAATCTCCGCCACGAATTCCTTCATCCCTTGTCTTGATTCATGAGAAACTCTCTTCACAGCTACCTCAAGCTTTGAAATTGGCATCACACCTTTGTAGACTCTACCAAATCCACCTGTTCCTAATAGCTCCTTCTCCTTGAAACCCTTTGTTGCAAAGTATAGATCTTTGTACTTGAATCTTTGAGTTCCATAGTCTTTCTCCCAATCTTCATGAAGCTCAGAGAACATTTTCTTCCTTTTGATGAAATGAAACATTGCTATAGCTACCATTAGAATCAAACATAGTGAAATCAAAGGCAACCCAATTGAGAAAACTAACTTAGAATCTTTTTTTCCTTCTAAAGATGGTAGCTTTGGAAGTTCAGAAATCACAAGGCTTTGAGCTTGACCATTAACCTTAAAACTCCAACCAAGAACATAATGAGAAGTTAGAATTGAACCTGTTGAAGATGAGAATCCAACATACATAGTACTATTGTTAATAACAGAAGAAAGATCTTTGTTCAATGACAACAAAGGTTTTTCTGGTTTAACAACATTAGTTGGAGCTAAAGTAACATCAATCTTCTTCTTTCCACCATCATATTCCAACCAAACTTGCATTGTTAAGCCACTAAAAAGGCTCAAATTCTTGAACTCATTACCACCTATCTCATAAAATCCCGCCGAAGCTGATTTTTCTGATCTCAATCCATTGATATCAATTCCAACATGGTTGTCATTGATATCATCAAACTCAGTATTCAAAATTGTATCAAGCTCTAAACCAAAAACATGGCTATTGTTGTTTCCCTTGTTTGTTTCATTGAACAAGCCAAGGTACTGACTTGGTAGCGAATTCGGTAACCCTTTTGTTGGAGAAACAACAAAAACAATTCCATGACCACTAAGAGTTTTAAACTCTGATCTTATAGCAAAAACAAAAGTAGTTGAGAAAGAAAACACACTACCACTTCCATTGTTGAAAACTATAGGATTTGGATAGAAAGCATGACCCTTTTCTTGTTTGGTATCATTGGTTAATCTAAGTAATCCATTGGAGGTTAATTCAGCAACACCATCAAGATACAAATTTGATGATTTGAATCCATTATAGATGAAACTGACATTGCTATCTTCACTTGCTACTACTACTACTAATGTTACAAACATAGAAACTATTGCTACAAGGTTGAAAGACATTTTTACTATGTTTTGAAATATGTTTGTTGTCTTGAATATTTGTTGTTTTGTTTCTATGGTTTGCTTGTAGCACACATTTGAATTTTCATATGAAGCTTACGTGGAAAGATCCTAGCACTTTCATAGTAAAGAAACCGAAATTTCATTATGTTAGTGGATCTTTCTAGGTGTTAAGTGAGGAAAGGACCATTGAAGTGTAAGGTTTCATAAAGTTGAAATACATCACTTTCATTTATTGTTCTGTCTTTTCAAAATTCTTATGTCACAATTTAAATTCAAAATCAAAGTTTTCAAATTGTAACCGATTTTTAGTGGTTTAAGACTTTAAAAACCGACACAACAAACGGTATTAGCAGGTATCGAAGGTGTTAATATCAATACTATTATTTATCAATATTTTTTTGTAAAAAATAAATTACAGTCAATTTATATCATGATGACCGCAACCAAAATCATAACACCTATATCAATTGAAATCGCTTAAAATTTTACATGTGTGAGTCTGAGGTAGCTAACAAATTTCTTTATAGTTAAGTTTAGTGGGACTACTAGGTAGGTAGATAAGGGAGAAATTAATAGGAACACGAGAGTTGAGTTTCAAGGAAGATTCCTTATATTGAAGTTTGCAACTGTGTAGGGTCAAATATGGAATGGACCCCTCATTTTGGCATGATGTAATTCATTCAAATTTTCATCAGAAAAGGGTGACAGAGAAGGATAAAAAGATAAAGATGAAAAATAAGAAACAGAAATAAAGGTTGGTCAAGCTTTACCTCTTTTTTTTCCTTTTTTTTTTTTTCTTTTTTCTTTGATAAAGAAACACAGTACAAAATTGGAGCTTTATTTCGAACATAATAGGGTTTTGTGAAACGAATAAAGTTGGCTCTATCTTTGTGTGGTTTTGCCTAGCCATATTTTGCCTAAACAACATATACTTGGTGTGGTTAAATAAGGTTGACCCTTGGTTCATTTTTCTTTTGTATTTGAAATTTTTATTTGCAAACATGGTCTACTACAATCTACTATTTATTATGGATAAACAACTATAGAAACTCCAAATTATACATCCTTAACATGGTCTACTGCAATCTATTATTTATTATGGATAAACAACTAGAAACTCCAAATTATACATCCTTAAAATTAGGGAGATTTGTCCATTTTCTTTAGCGAGACAAAGTTTTAGATCCACGTTCTGTATTATATTTGTTTTCTTTTTCTTTTCATACGTAGACACTAATGGATCAGATTTAAATTTATCAGATTTAAATTTATCTAACTTTTATCACAGGATGTTTGAGCTTGTCAGCCATATTCTATTTAGGTGAGTCAAAATTTTTATCTCGCACTCTCTAATATGTCAACTTTCATTTTTTAAGGCAAACAAATTTTTAGCTAATTATTTCTACTATGTTCGTCTCGTTTTATTTTTTACAAATGTTTATGGACGGACGCAATCGATCGGATTTTAAAAACCTTTACATTTAACTTCTTTTATGGATAAATTTGTCATAAAAATGTTACTAAAATCACTCTAAACTCTACTTTTTATAAACTATTATCTTTGTAAGTAATTTTTTATAAAATAGTAAAGTAGCAATTTTATTAGTAGTTTATAAGTTTACATTTTATTTGAATTTGATTTTTAAATGTATAACTTTGATTCATGTATTATTGAACATTAGATTGATCACGTTCATTGTTTTTTTTTTATTACTATTAAACTATTATAAATACATAAATTAAATTTTTAATTCATTTTAAACATAATATATGTATTTTATATTTGTAAAGGAAAAAAGTGGAATGAAATGTTCATTGAAGAGATGACACACTAGCGGAATGAAATGTTCATTAAAGACTGTGTCTCCCACACCAGCTTTCTATTCCTTCGTTTATTAGAAGTACGTCTGTCATTTGGTTAATGATGCTCATTTCTCATATCACTTGTCTTATTGTGGAAGTGAGGAGGTGTTGTGTCTTAGTTCGTTATGCTATGGAGGTGGCCACATTTCCTAAGAAATGGATGAGATACCTATCTTATTTCCCATGCTCTTAAGAATGGAAAGTGTGGAACCTAACTTCTTCAAATCTGAGACCCAGGTCCACAAGGTTCTTATAAATACCTCAACTTTGAGGTTGAAAGGAATTGAATTCATTACGTAAAAATACCACATATAGAATTTCTCACGATCTAGTGTGAACTTGCTTAACACCACATACAATACTAAAAAACTTTGACAACCCTACAGGTGAAAGGGGTCATCACGTATTATACTTTTAGCAAGTACAATTGATGTCCACCGTGGGACCCAATGAAATTGGCATGAGCCATCATTACTACATTCAGCTTAATTGTAATCTTCACGTTTAACTCATCTATTCATCAGGATGAACAAGAAGGTAGTAACTCCGACCAATAGTGAATGATGGTGAGTAGAGCGTCATAGGAGAGATGCGAGCTGCCATGGGCGACTTATGCCGCCAGAATCATGTCTTGAAGGATAACATCTTACACATTCTTAAATGCTAGCAGAAGGTTTGCCCTCTTAAAGATACTGAAATCCTAGACCATCGGCCTCTATTAGATGAGATATGTGTAAGAACACAGATTGTGTCTTAGTTATATCTCTATGTTTTGATGATAACACTTATGAATTTTGTATTCAAGAATTATATACTCTAAACGTGTTCTAGACTGTTTGCTACAAGTACTAAAGAAAATTCTCTTAAGAAAGCAAATTTGGATCTGAACAATGTTATTATGAAGGGCTTCATAAGTTCAAGAGCATCTTAGTGAAGATCTGAACGCTGCTCCCAGAAGAATCTGATTACTGTCTCTTGAAGATTCTGAAGCAGGAGCCTCTAAGAGCATAAAAGACTCTGCTCTGATAGATTTACACGCTCAAGCACACAGCTGCACATACTCTGATTCAGCTCAATCTGAAGAACATCCAAGACTCTGAAGATCCAGAAGATCTCTATTCTGGAGACTCTGAAGATTCAGATTCTAATGTTGAAAGCTGAACTTACTTTGAAGAAGATTTAAATATGTACGTTGGTTTATCTCAACAGCTCTTTCCTATTTTGTGCTAGACACAAGGACACAGACAAAAAGGTTTTATCTGTGCATTCCATTCTAAGGAAAGTTTTCTGCAAGTGAAGACAAAAGGCATCAGGCTTGTTTCAGCACAGCCTCCAAAGTAAAGACAAAAGGCTTCAGGCTTTTCTGCACAGCCTTCAACGTTATCAAGACTTCATGGATCTAAGTGCCTATATAAAGAAGTCCACTCCATCTTCTTCAGTATCAAACTTCTAGCAAAATCTCTCACCATAGCAAAACTCTCAAGCACTTATTATTTTATTTTGCTATAACATTGTTCTTAACTTAAGAGAAATGTCACTGTTGTGATAACAGCTTATTAGAAGCATTCATACTCTTGTATAAGTTTTACATTGTTTGTAAAGGTTTTCCTTAAGAGGATCCAGTTGGGATCAGTTGCTCTTGAGAAGACTAAGAACAGTTGTTCTTAGGTGTTGCTATTGTAATCTGTTTTGATTAAATAGTGGATTAAGTCCTTGACAGAGAAAGGAAAATCACTCTTGAGAGGGTGGACTGGATTAGTTGTATTCAACGAACCAGGATAAAAATATCTGTGTTCAAATCTTTGATTTTTAGTCTTACTTATTCACCCCCCCCCCCCTTCTAAGTAATTTTCTCACCTTCAGTTGGCATCAGAGCTCCGGTTCTGCGTGTGCTCCACTTAACCGTGACAGTTAAAGATCCAGTGAGAAAGATACTTTGATATTTATTTGGTTGTCAATATGGATAATACTTCTACATCAACTTACAACAACAAATATGAAGGAGATAGGATCAGTACTAAGCCACCCATGTTTGATGGGGAAAAATTTGACTATTGGAAAGATAGAATAGAAAGTTTTTTCCTTGGGTATGATGTTGATCTTTGGGATATGGTCATTGATGGATATGAACATCCTACTGGTGAGGATGGCAAAAAGATTGATAGAAAATCAATGACTGAAGTACAAAAAAGAGATTTCAAGAATCACCACAAAGCCAGAACTATATTGCTTAATGCAATCTCTCATACTGAGTATGAGAAGATTACTAACAGAGATACTGCTCATGACATGTTTGAGTCACTCAAAATGACTCATGAGGGAAACTCTCAGGTTAAAGAGACCAAGGCTCTGGCGCTCATACAGAAGTATGAGGCATTTAAAATGGAAGAGTCTGAAAATGTAGAAACTATGTTTTCTAGATTTCAGATTCTTACAGCTGGTCTGAAAGTTCTGGACAAGGGCTACTCAACGTCAGATCATGTCAAGAAGATCATCAGAAGTCTTCCCACCAGATGGAGACCAATGGTGACCGCATTGAAGATGGCAAAAGATCTGAACAAGATCTCTCTAGAAGAACTTATCAGTTCTTTGAGAAACCATGAAATTGATTTGGAGGAAGATGAACCCCAGAAGAAAGATAAAGGTAAATCCTTAGCTTTAAAATCTAACAAATTTGTTAAAGCTTTGCAGGTAAAAGAAGAAAGCTCTGAAGAATCTTCTTCTGAAGAAGAAGATGAGTTATCCATGTTGTCCAGAAGGATTAACAAACTCTGGAAGCACAAGGGAAATAAGTTCAACAACTTCTGAAGATCTGATAACAGAAAGGAATCTTCTAGTCACAGAAGATCTGCCAAGAAAGAAGTGGTGTGCTATGAGTGCAAAGAACCTGGGCACTACAAAAATGACTGCCCCAAACTTCTCAAGGAGAAATCCAAGAGAAAGTTTGATAAAAAGAAGAAGGTTCTTATGGCAACTTGGGATGACTCAGATGAGTGTGAATCATCTTCTGAATCAGAAGAAGAATGTGCAAACGTTGCACTGATGGCCAGGACAGAGGATCAAGAGGAAGGTACCTCAGGATATGAATCAGAATCTGAATCTGATGATGATGCAGAAGAGGTAATGGCTAAACT